CACTCTCATAAATTAAAATCAAAGATTGGAGAACTGACTCGCTTTTCATGGACCCGCAATATATATTAAGTTCATTTCCCCGGTTCATTTAGTCTGCTAAGATGTCTTTAAAGTTATACTTCGACTTGCTATCGCAACCAAGCAGAGCACTATATATTCTTTTAAAATCATCAAAAATACCGTTTGAGGAGTGCCCTATCGCATTAAGAAAAGGTATATGTTCTATTTTTTTGTTCTAACTGGTTTATTAACCTAGTCTTTATATATATATTTATTAGTCGATGTTTTGCGATACGATGCATCTGTCACTAACAAATAATATTATAATCTTTCTTTAATTAATAATCGTTGCATTATGTGTTGCAAAGGTACTTGGATGCTTGTTTTTTTTTTTGCTTTACTTTATTTCTCTAGGCGTGTTCTGTTACTTATTATCTTCTAACTGCTTTCTATAGCTTCATGAGCAAGTATGGTTGCATCAACAATAATATATCAACTTATTGTTCTACCCCTTTAATTATTAATATCACAATGAAATTTCAGGAGCTCAACTCACTGATGAATACAAAAACAATGTGAGTCGTTTCCAAAAGGTCCCTGTGGTACATGATGGGGATTTCAAAATGACTGAAAGGCACTTGAACTGATTAAGACCAAATTAATTTGTATTCTAAATATAATTGTAATTGCAGTGTCGCTATTTTGAGGTACTTGGCAAGAGAGAAGAGTTTACCAGATTATTGGTATCCAAAAGATAGTAAACGTCAGGTTAGGGTTGATGAGTTTTTGGAGTGGCAGCATAACAACGTTCGAGCAACCTGCGCCAAGTATTTCATGAAAAAAGTAACTTTTTTTATTTGAAGAATGGAATTATATATATATAACATACATTTTAGTGGATATTTCCTTTGGTGACTGGACAAGAATTGGAACCTGAGAAATTAGCTGAGTACAAACAGAGTATGGAGGATTGCTTAGATTCTATGGAAACTTTGTGGTTGGCCAATGGAAATTATATTTGCGGAGATAAATTGACCGCCGCCGATTTGTGGGCTGCTTGCGAGGTGGAGCAGCCTCGAGTCACAGGTTACGATCCTATTGTGGGCAGACCGATATTGGGGGCTTGGCTGGATCGTATCAGGACTGAGGTCGATCCTCACTACGGCGAAGCTCATGCCATTTTGAACAAGATTGCAATGAAAAGCCAGAAAGCCTAATTGTATATTTAATTTATAATCAATATATTTCATATTAGTTTTATACTATTCAATTTCTATTCTATTAATACAAAATAATACACTATCAACATTTTTTGTTTAATGCTAATAAATTTTTAATTAACTAAAACCTACTGGTTACTTTCTGTTATTTATAGATTTGCTAAGTTTTTTTTTACTAACTACCCCTAATAAAGAAATTATTCAAACCTGGGTATACAGTGGAACCTTGCTTAACGTGCACCTCGCATAACGAGCATTTCGCTTAACGAGCAAAATTAATTATAAGAAAAATGACTTTTCGCATAAAGAGTGTCGAGAGAAGAGTAGTCCCGGATTGCGCGCCTTCTACATCATTTTTAAAACTTGTGTATTATGTGTATTTTTGAACATCTTCGATTTTCTTTGTCATCTTTGTTTAAAACACAAATATATTGTGTCCAACCATTATTATAATATATAAACAAACTATGTACGCTTTTTTATATAAACAAATATTAAAAGTATAAAGAGACCTCCATCAAGTCCCGAATTGATACAAGTAATAGAAACAAATATAAACTCACTTCACCGTGTGTGAATTGGAAAACAGTTCCTAGTGTTAGTGGTCATTCTAGTTGCATCTTAGTGTTGTTTGTGATCACAAAATTTCCAAACTTGTGTTCAGACATATTATTTGTGTTTTTTTGCTCGACATTTAATAACACTTGCATGTCGCCAAATAAAAAGCCAGAGAATAAAAAGAAAAATTGAGACAAAGTTATATTTTTTTTCTCCGGCATGGAACGCTTTAACGTAATTTACATTAGTTTATATGGGAAAACGTGTTTCACTAAACGAATATTTCACTATACGAGTAAAAATCCGGAAACTTTGGAACGAATTAAACGAGGTTCCACTGTATTGGGAATATTCAAGAAAATTAAATTTTGATGTGCGGAAAGATTTCAGTCGTAGCCCTTTGGTCAGCCTATTAATATATATATTTTTTTTATTTTATGTTAGAATTTATTTATTTATATGTATAGAATGTACTTTTTTTCTTATGTATTGATGTTTGGCCAATAAATTATTATTATTAATTATTATTATTATTAAATTTTGATATCAAAGTTTTAATAATTATCATTTTATAAAGCGGAAAGATCTATTGTCAGAAGCAATTTATAATTCAATATTTCCCATAATTTAAATAATACATATTTTTGTTAACTTCTTGTGAGATGGAATTATATATTATTATTTATTTCTTTTATAAAAATTATATCAATTATTATTGATACAAATCTCTTTTGATAGACTTTTCGGGTCCACAAATTTTTGTTGGTTTTTGAGGATCGAACTAACTTTTTTGAATCGGATTTTCGTGATACAGGCGACTATATTATTATTATTCATTATATAAATTTGATTAATGCAGAGAGTAGACGCAGTTGCCTATATATTAAAGGCATATAAACTTTGGACCCGGTATAATAATTTAGTCTCCAATAATGTCTTTGAAGCTGTACTACGATTTTCTTTCACAGCCCAGCAGGGCACTATATATACTTTTAAAAACATCAAAACTACCGTTTGAGGACTGTCCTGTGGCATTAAGAAACGGTATATATTTTATATTTTTCTATTTACTTCTCAAGTACAATTATTGGGTTAATATATTTTGTGAATTTTACCATATGTAATTAATACTATTATTAACTTGCAGGAGCTCATTTGAATGATGAATTCAAATACAATGTGAGTCGCTTCCAAAAGGTCCCAGTGATACATGATGGAGATTTCAAATTGACTGAAAGGTTGTTGAACCATAAAATAATATGATTTTATACTAGATGTTGTAATTATAGTGTCGCAATATTGAGATACTTGTCCAGGGAGAAGAATTTACCAGAATTTTGGTATCCAAAAGACAGCAAGAAGCAGGCTAGAGTTGATGAGTTTTTAGAGTGGCAGCACAACAATGTTCGAGCCTTCTGTGCTTTGTATTTTCAGAAAAAAGTAATGTTGTTATTAGTTATCAGTAGGAATGGAAATATTAAAAAAAATATTATTTTAGTGGCTGTTTCCCATTATAACTGGAAAAGAGATGGAACCTAAAAAGTTAGCTGGATACAAAAAAAGGATGGAAGATTGCTTAGATTCCATGGAAATATTGTGGTTGTCTAACGGGAAATATATTTGTGGGGATAACCTGACGGCCGCCGATTTGTGGGCAGCTTGCGAGGTGGAGCAGCCTCGTCTGGCTAGTTACGATCCAACAGTAGGCAGACCCATATTAGGGGCTTGGTTGGACCGTGTCAGGTCTGAGCTCGGTGAAAATTACAGAGTAGCCCATGAAATTTTGAACAAGATTGCTACTAAAAGTCAAAAGGCTAAGATGTAAATGTTAAAACATAATTTTGTATTTTTATAATGATTGAACATTGTTAATCTATATACTGTTGGGAAACTTAATTAAAATTTATTTTCTTTTCTTAGTATATTAAAATATAGAGATATTAATTAAATATTGACACATTTCATCTAAACCCGATCTCATACACTCCATTCACAACTGACCTATCCTTACAAACGGAAAAATACTGAGTAATAATAAATTGGTGGATAGTCTCTGGTTGGCCAATGGAAAGTATATACGGAAAAATTGACCGTCTCCAATTTAAGAGCACCCGGTAAAGTGGAGCAGCCTCGACTCACAGGTTACGATCCTACTTTGGGGTAGACCTATATTGTGGGTAAGCTAGACCGCACCAGGTCTGAGTTCGATCTTCGCGAAGCTCATAGAATTTTGAACAATATTGTAATGATAGCCAGAAAGCCTAATACAAAATAATGTAATAAGTCTATCAACATATTAATACACAAAATATTAAAAAAAAATAAGACCCAGGTAGACCTATCTTTCAGCTGCGACACCCATGATCATAATACGAGAACTAGAAGAAATATAAGGATGGAACGAGACATAGAACAAGTAAAAACCAACAAGCCCGCTCAAAATACAGATTCCAAGGAGCATACCAAAAGAACCGGAGCTGAGGGGCATACACATAAGAATTGTATATAAAAAAATTGTTTGTTTAATGTTAATAATATTTATAATTAACTAAAGCTTTATAATTCGTTTTACTTCATCATATAATTATTTGATTGTCTTCTATTTTTATTTATGGCATCGACTGCTATAGTCATTAGCCAGCACTCTTTTAAAATAGAAAACGGACTGAATATATTTTGATTAACAGATATATATGTCTACTAACTTGGGTTGCTTAGTCTCGATATTTTTTTAATTTCCGGGATACGAAACAATTGTTTAAGGCATTCTCGGGAAATTAAAAAAAAATAAAATGTCCTCATTCAATATTTTTTCTTTTTATGGAGAGGAGTTAATTATAAAGAAAATCTAAATTGCTGATTCTCTATCCAGTTTCTTCAAAAATATTTTTGAAAAAAAAGTACTTTATATTGTTCCAGATTTATAGGAGAATCTGTTCATCTGAATTTTTGATTACTTTTATGACTTGTAATAAACGTAATCATTATTATTAATTAATGAATTTTCATTGGCTGTTGCCAATATATTAAAAACATATATACTATGGAGCCGGTATAATAATTTAGTCTCCTTGTATGTCTTTGACGCTGAAAACATCAAAACTACCGTTTGAGGAATGTCCTGTGCCCTTATAAACGGTATATATTTTATAATTTTCAATTATAATTGTTGTACACCATATATTATGTAAATTTTACTTTTTGTAATTAATACTGTTATTAACTTTCAGGAGATTAGTTGAGTGATGAATTCAAATACAATGTGAACCGTTTCCAAAAGGTCCCACATGATGGAGATTTCAAATTGACTGAAAGGTTTTTGAAACATAAAATAATTTAATTTTTTACTGAATGTTGTTGTAATTAAAGTGTCGCCATTTTGAAATACTTGTCCAGGGAGAAAAATTTGCCAGAATTTTGGTATCCGACAGCACAAAGCAGGCTAGGGTTAATGAGTTTTTGAGTTGCAGCACAACAATATTCGAACTTTATGTGCTATGTATTTTCAGAAAAAAGTAATGTTGTTATTGGTTGTTATTAGGAATGGAAATATTAAAAAATATTATTATTATTTTAGTAGCTGGGAAAGAGATGGAACCTAAAAAGTTAGTGGGATACAAAAAAGGATAGAAGATTGCTTAGATTCCATGGAGATATTGTGGTTGTCTAACGGGAAATACATTGTGGGGATAATCTCACTGCCGCCGATTTGTGGGCAGCTTGCGAGGTGGAACAGCCTCGTATGGCTGGTTACGATCCAACAGTAGGCAGACCCATATTAGGAGCTTGGTTGGATCGAGTCAGGTCCGAGATTGGTGCTAATTACAGCGAAATACATTCCTGTTTTAAACAAGATTGCTGCGAAAAGGCAAAAGACTAAGATGTGAATGTTAAAAAAAAAAGTATTTTTTATAAGCATTGAACATTGTTAATCAGTGTATTTGGTAACTGTTGGGAAACTCAATTAAAATTTATTTTCGTTTGTTTCTTTTATTCGCTCTTCGATAACCACATTATCGTAAACATTCCCGATATAACTGGTAAAAAATTACATATCATTTTTTTTATATATATATATATATTTATATTATATAATTAGGCAAGTATATCAAAATATAGAGATATTAATTAAGTATTGACACATTTCATCTAAACCCGATCTCATACACTCCATGCACAACTGACCTGCCAATTACCAAAAACGGAAAACCAAAAAAAAAAACAATTAAAATAATTACTGAGTAATAATAAATAAATACTGAATAAAAATAATTTAAATAAAAGCCTTAGACGATTTGAAAGTAAAACCAAAATGCATTTGAATTGAGGTGGCTGGGATAGGAACAATAATTAGAAGGGTGTGATGCTCCACAGCTTGGTGTTGCAATCTTGGCCAACGGAGACCACAGTCGTGTTGTCCAGCCAGGACACTCTGGTGATTTGGCTTTGGGCGTGTGCATCTGTAACAAATATTATAAGATAATTAGAAACGCAAGTGCGGGTTGAATTAAGTATAACGTACTCTTGATAATAATGTGTTTCGATGGCTTCTCGACGGACCAAACGATGATGCTGGTATCAAGACTGCCGCTGGCGACGAGCAGTGAATCCGGAGACCAAGCAACGCAGTTGACTCGGGCATTGTGGAAGCCCCATTCGTGTTTGTTGGCATGCTCGTATTCGGAGACAGAGTATAGGACAACTTTGCGATGGGCATCGCTGGTCACCAGATACTTCTCGTCCGGCGAGTAAGTCAAATCGGTGATGGCACCAAGCTGCTCAAGCTCCTTAATTTGCACCAGGTTGTCACCCTGCAGCTCGTAGATATGGACCTTTTGATCAGTTGTACCACCGATAGCAACGTGTCCGTTACTAGAGTTCACGCTCACGCTGGAAGGTTCGTAATCGACCTTCAGGCTGCTAACCTTTCGATCATCCTTTATGACGTTCACCTCAGACACTGTAGCAGTGACGATGGTGTTCGTCTCCTTGAAGATGTCCATGCCTCTTGGTTGCGAACCTAGCTTCAAGTCCTCTTTCATGTACACGTTACCTTCGATATTGATCTTCTTTAAAGAATCGTCAATTCCGCAAGTGTACAGAATGCCCTTGTTGGCTTTCATACCGTTAATTTGGTTACCATGTCCAGTGCCCTCGATCCTATCGTTTTCGCCCGTACCAGCGTTCCAGGTGGTAACAAAACCATCGTGCGAACCTGTGAAGATGTTACTGCGATCTTCGCTCAAAGTCAAAACAGTGATCGGCTTATTATGACCCTTAATAATCCTAAGCGGCTTCTCAGGATTGTTGACATCCAAGTAGTTGATGAATCCACTCAACGAGACAGACAACAAGTAGTTGTTCTGCCAGAGGCAAGAGACTTGCTGATCATCGACGGTATCTCCAAGTTTAAATTCGGATACTACTTGCCTGGTCTCGACGTCCCAAAGCTTAGCGCTTTTGTCTCCGCTGGAGGTGAGCAATTGTTTCCCATCTGGAGACCAAGCCACTCCGTAGACGCCTCCACTGTGCGCTGGACTGCCCACCTCTCCTACCAAATCCGAAGTGGTTCCATCGTATAAATAAACTTTACCATCAAAACCAGCAGAGGCAAACAAGTTTCCGGAAGGTGAATAACGGACAGCCTGCACGAATCTGCTATGCTCCTGTTTGGTCATCTTGAATTTAAATGGAGGTCCTTCGAAGACGGCGATCGTGTTATCCTCGGATCCAGTGATCACCCTGAAAGGACGAGCTGGTCTGAAATCGCAGCTGTTGATCGGCTTCGATTGTCCAGAAATTTCGCCGACGGATGTTCCGGTTTCCGACATGAAGACGTGCCCGAACCTCTCCCTGCCCTCACCAACAACCACCATCCTTTGGTTATCCGGAGACCACGCGATGTCCTTGATTGGTCCTCCAATTGGATGGAACTCATTTTTCAGGATATGTTCTTTATTGACGGTATCCCAAATGCGAACCTTACCGGATTGATCTTTAATAAAAAGTATTTGCGATCTCAAATATCAATATCATATACAATAAATGCCTAGTTTCAGGAAAGTTACTGGATTGTTCCTTAAAAATTTAAACACTACATTATTGTCTAAACTGAAAAAGGAATAATCAAATAACCTTCTTATTTTAGATTTTAAAATAATTTAAATAAAAAATAATAAACAAATTATCTTCTAAATTATCAAACTTAACTTACCACCAGAGGCAATATAGAATCCACTTGGAGAGTACTTGGCGACATTCACGGGACATGAATGTTCAGTGTAAATGTCAGCAATTGCAGGATTCTCAATATTTCTAATGATAACTGAATTGCCATTGGTGTAAAGGAAGTTCTTGCCCTTAGGATCACCGCCCAAAACCAAGGGCTGACCTCTCTGCGTCCTTGGAAGGGTAACGTAAATACTCTCTGGAAACAAAAATATATATAAATATTTGCTAAGCAAAAACTAAATATTAGGCTACCCAATAAGCAGGATATTGTGTGTTCTTTTTTATACAAATGATCACCGTGTATACGTGAATATTTTTAGCGTAAAATGTAGATGCGTGGGAGCGAAAATAGAATTATCGTTAATTAATGCTGCGAACTGAACTAATGGAATCCTTTGCATACAGTAAACGAACGAAAGTTCACCGTACAATGAACATATCGAAGGTATAATAAAATGAGAAAAAAAGGCGTGTCCTTTTATGATGTTACTATTTGTTGATGATAAAGGGCGGAATTTAGAATGAAATTTGTAAAGTTTCGCAAAGATGAAGGGCTACAAGAAAACTTATTATTTTTACTCACTAGATGTATAAGACATGGTCGAGTTTCAGCTGTTTTCTGGATTTGTGCCCACTTTGATGTGTATTGGATTTCCACCAAATAGGAAATGGATGACTAATTTTATCTCTCGCACAGAAGTGTCGCCGGTTGTATCGGAACGCGCTTTCGCCTACAACTGCTGATCCCACCTAATTTACCAACGTGCAGCTATACGCGGATTTTCTTCGGCAAACTCGACTGGTGGATGGAAAGAAAACACCGAAAACACTTGCACCGGTTGTTCGATAGGACGACAGTACGGTTATGTTTCGTCGGCCATATCTAATTACCGAATATGGATATAAACTGGATGCGTACAGCGCCCCGACCGACAATCGCGAAAGAAACGACAATTGCGGAAGGACGAGTAGGAATAAAAGGAAAACAATACAAGTAAAATGCAACAAAGATCAGCTGTTATCTGCACCTTTATTTAATACGTTAAAACGAAGCATTCCTTTACGTATTTGATAAATGTAACAATAGATTCCACTTAAAATTCAATCAATCAACAGAAATGTTGATAAACAATATATATTTTTATTTATAAAATTCTTCGAATGTAACTAATATAATTGTCACATGCATTTTTGGTTGCATCTACTTATTATAATAAGTTTATCTTAGACAATTATCATATAAGACAGGGGTTCCCAACCTTTTTTCACCTTAGAGCACATTATAGAATGGCGGCGTGCACCATTTATGTTTTCAAGGTAAATTTATAGTTGGACATAGTCAATAATGCACAGCGGCGGGCACACGTAAAATATAATGGATATAAGACATCCATCATGATATATTGTCAAACTTTTGTCATTTCTCTTCTCATAATATAAGATATTTTAAAAGATATGCATGTATCATGAAAATGACAGAGTTCGAATTTCAACTGGAAATAATATTTTAGAGCTCAATAAGTAGCATTTGAAAAGTAGCAATTAATTACAAAATTCAACAAAAAAGGAATTGTTTTAATCTCTTGAGAAATAGGAAAACAATTTTCAAGCGATATTTGCCGTTATAAATATTGTATTTCATACATATTTAATTAAAGTATACTCAGGAAATGTCGTTTTAAAGATCAACGTTGTTACTTAAATGTTAAGGTTTTCCTCTTGTCTTTTAACATGAATTATATAAAGTGTGGGAGACATATATAAAATTATATAGTAGATAAATCAAGAAAGATTTAATTGAATTTCAAGTTGTATTTTTTCCTACCGGATTATATATTGTAATAAGTGAAAATAAAATAATCTTAATGTATTATATCAGTTAATACAAATGATTGTGATATCTCCAAGATCTATTTTGGTGATAATTTTCATCACGCATTCGCAACGTGTATAATATTTATATATCATTTCATAAATTACTATGATTCAGTAAGACAAATATAACCTAATGAAGATGAATACCTTATAATATATCACTTTAGCTTGAATGCATTTGTGTACAAATTAACTACGAGATGAAAAACTAATCCGCGGATTTCTTATGATCTGATTTTTAGATTACTTATTAATCCTGCTTAAAAAATTGTAAACAAACATATTCGAGATATTAAAAGTACAATTAGACATTTGATTGTGATGATTGTTTTAGCAAACTGTATTTAATTCCAAATAATGCATTGCTCTTTAGTTTCACATTTGTACAACGCGTTGAAAGCTTGAGAGTTCGCCAAAGTCTTTAAGACGCGAATATTTACCGGCGCATGATCTTCGGCTAAAAGTAGATCGTTCTGTTCAGCTACTTCACACCACATCTGCAACAAAGGTCAACCATTTAAACTTTCCTGATACACCGATATATATAATACTTTAGCGTAATTCCGAAAAAAGATCTTCCTCCTATCCATGAAAGGTATACGTTCCGTCGCTTGCAGCATAGTATTATAGCTTATCGTAAGCCCAACATGATCGGCAACGTTTTCAGCAACCGCACCCAACTGTGTCTGAAAGCAGGCGACTTTAAGATCATCCAGAAGCGAATCCAAAGCATGTGAAAGTTCATGCCCAATCAAACTTCCGAGAGCTGCGTAATTTGCGGAAGCCGGTCTGAGTGGATCGTAAAATGGTTGATGCAAAATACCCAATGGTAAAACTTGAAACACAAGGATCAAAATCTTGAATTATACTATATTACTTGAATACTCACTAATCGCGTTATGCAGCAAGCTATAGTACGCGTTAACATCGAACACTGAGATGGGCCAACTGCAAAACAAATACAACTATTTGCGCAACTTCTCGTTAAATAAATACTTAATGCGCTTTGTGTCGTGATTGAGCTGCTCCAAAGAAGATTTGGCTTCTAAATTCTTCAGCTTCAGAACGTTAATGAAATGGTTATCCCCCATTGCGACACGCTTGACATTCTTGTTCGACAATTTGGGATAGCCGATTTCGAATCGAACGGAAAGGATTTTCCGCACGGCTTCAGCCCTGAGTTCGAAGCTCATCCAATTATTGTCGAGCAATTGCCGCACGAACTCCAGTTTGAGATTGTTCGCCATCTGACTGACCCCAGAGATGATGTCTTCGTCGAATCTGTATGTCCTGATCAAATCACCACCGAAATTCTTGAGCGCGTGCTGAGTGCACTCGTGCTTCCTGTCCAGGTCTTCGTCGATGCCCAGAATAGCTTTATCCACTTCGAATGAGAATTTCCTCAATTGGGGATCGACGTCTCGGGACAGGTCCTTGATTGCGCACCACATAATATAATTCGCTGAAAATCAATGAACAATAAATAAACTAATACAAGTTTATCGAATTGTATAACTCACAGACAACACGCACCTCGGTGTTGTTTAATAAGATCAGCAATTCTTCGAGCCGCTTTGGTTTCACCACGATGTCTTGCAATTTATTGTAATCTACAGCTGTACCTTCTAGCAAATACCTTAGGAACTCCTTCATGTAAACCAGGTGTTTCAAGTTAATCATTTTCATCTGATCATCCCGAATATCCGCTAAAACAATTTCGAAATCGACGATTTCTTGGATCTCTCGCTCATTGATTTCATCGCCAAGGACGTGGTGTAAGGTGCGTGCAATCCATTTACGGTATACCTGCAACTCTTTTGTGTACTTCTTGGGGTTGGCTAAGAATAACTCTGGAAAAACGAAATCTCCGGAATCTACCTAAAACAAATACATACAATACGTTTGAAATATAGTTTATAATATTACATAAATTAAATTTGATTGAAATTAACTTTTTCTCTTATATAAAAAAAAGTTTATTCTTATATAAATAATAATTATTTTGGTATTCATAATTATAATTTACATAGTTAAGTAGTCTAACATTTTTTTATTATTATTATCTACATAATTTACCTGGGAAAAGGGCAATACCACTTTGAATAATCTAATCGTGTTAGAGCGAAACTGTATTATAGTAGGAAGTTATATGAGGGATGAGTTCTGTTCATTGCCAAGTGACCTAATGCAATATTTAATGACAACTGATCAAATCATATTTTAAAACTATAGTAGAACCTCACTTAACGAGCATAATCCGTTCCAAAATTTCCGGATTTTTACTCGTATAGTGAAACAATTTCCACATATAAACTAATGTAATATACGATAATGCGTTCCATTTTGAGAGTCAATTTTGTTACAATTTATATTGCACGTTAAGCGAAATGCTTTGTATATGTATTGTTATATGTGAGTATTAATACTTATAGATAGGGTCAAAGTAATTGAAATATTATATAATATATGTATTTTTGTTACATTTTGAACATAACCATTAAGCGATGAATTTGTGTTTCAAATAAAACGTAATGATTATTATACGAAGCACATACAATTATAATTTTTAAACTACAATCGCATTTATTTAGTACAAAAAGCGGTAGGACCATATACCAAGAAGCTTTCTTTACATTTATTACATATTTTTTCTGCAATCTTGTAATATAAGCAATCTTAATATTATGAGCTTAAAAATTAACCTGATACATACGTATAGTATATGTCTCGTATGATTGGAGTAATCAACATCGACAGTCAACTTAATGATTGGATGGATGCCGAGCAGACGAGTGGTTTCGGCTATTTTGAAAAATACTTCCGGATGAGGGTCGTTCCAGCCGCCAAGTTTCCTCGCAAAAACTCTGAATTGTTGGATGTAGTTGGCTTCGTCGTCAACGCAACCTGCGTAAAATATCTTTCCTTCGCTGTTAAAGTCATCATCGATAAGAATACTCTGAATCTTGTTGTTGATTTCATAAGCAGTGGCCACAAACTGACTCCAGACCGGCTCTGATTTGGGCCCTTTATTCTTCAGCTCCCATTTGTCGCAAACGTCCCGGTAATAATCATCACAAGGTCGTCGCAGATCGCTTAAACCTTAAACGATGTATATCAATTGGCAATATTAGCCCTTTGTTATAAACTCACCTTCATTTGCATGGTATAGGAAAAAGGGTAGAGAACTCGCGCCGTGGATGAGCGCGAGAAACAAGAATTCAAATCGTTTCATAATTACACTGCCTTTATTCGCCTTACTCTCTTTAAATAACTATATCGTACGCAATGTTGTTGAACTCGGAACTCTCTTTTTTGTATGAGTGTATGTTAGTAGTTTTAAATGATTTATCGCAAACAGGAAACAATGATAAAATAATATTGTAGCAATGGTGATAAATTTAACAAAACATATCACTCTTCCAGCGTCTCGTTTTAAAAATATGATAATATAAAAACAAACAGATTATTGCCACCTGCTCCTTTTGCGTGTTGGCGGGGCGGAAGGCGGAGCCGACTGCGGAGGTGGAGCATCTGAACTTGATGTAAACTATACGGGTAGAATGTAATTTATAATTATTATTTTTTACATATTTGTTAATTAATACGCATTACCTGTTTCATATACTGCATTTTAAAAGCAGATTTCATGGCTGAAAGACGATCGGTCGCAGGACCTTTAGGTTGCTGCGAATCCGCTTTACTTATCCCGCTCCCGCTGCTGCTGCTACTCGGTGGAGACGGAGAATATTTTTTGCCAACTTTCTCTACAAATCCTAAACCTACTCCACCCACGTTTGGACCTTCCTTCTTCTTGTATCTGGATTTCTTGAACCAACTACTCTGCATGGCCAGATCGAATAGCTCCTGTGAGACTTCCTGGTTAGCAGCTTCTAAATTTCTCACAATATGTCCAGCAAATTCTTTGTCCTTGTCTGTTAACAGAGTTATCGCGGTTCCCTGGGTACCTGCTCTGCCAGTCCTACCTACACGATGAGTGTGTGTATCTATATCGCGAGCTGTATCGAAATTGACTACTGTCCGAATATGCGGAATATCTAAACCTCTGGCAGCCACATCGGTGGCGACCAAAAGAGAACATTCGTTTTTCTTGAACGAAATAATCACTTTATTCCTTTCGGCTTGTTCCATATCACCATGCAACAACAAACACTCAAACTCTTTGACTTTAAGATCTGCAGCCACCTGTTCTGCATCTAGGATCTTAGTAACAAACACTAACACGGATCCAGTAGACAGCAACTCGACGAGATGTGAGAATAACCAATTTCTTTTTGCTTGAGGAGTTGCTAGCATAACCACGTGTTGAGTTACATCCTCGTTCGCCTGTCCGGTCAATCCTTGAGAGATTTTCACAGGATCTTGAAGAGCGTCTTTCACCAGCCTTTCGATCTTTTTCTTGAACGTAGCGGAGAACAGCAGAGTCTGTCGATCGGGTCGAACATGGTTACAAACCGATCGAACTTGTGGTTCGAAACCCAATTCGAACATGCGATCGGCTTCGTCGAGAACCAAAAATGTAACCCTCTGCAAATTTGTAGCACCGCATTTAACGTGGTCAATAATTCGACCGGGTGTTGCTACTACAATTTCTGCGCCTTCCTTTAACGCCTGACTCTGTTCCCATTTTGAACCACCCCCGTAAGCACAAATCACTCTCAGGTCAAAGATCTTAGCAAACTTCTTCGACTCCGTATAAATTTGCAGTGCCAATTCACGGGTAGGCGCCAAAATCAGAGCGATGGGTCCTTCGCCTGGTTCCACAGGTTGTTGATCGGCTACATGTACCAAGAGAGGCCACAAGAAAGCTGCTGTTTTACCACTACCTAAAATACATTGATAAGTAAATAGTAATAAGTATTACAATAATCAATTAATTTATGAACCTGTTTGAGCTACTCCCAGAACGTCCCTGCCCAACAGAGCGCACGGTACTGCTTGACTCTGAATAGGAGTGGGGCTTGTGTACTCAGCCTTGATAATTCCCTTTAACAATTTATCATCGAAATTGAAATGTCCAAACGAAGAAACTGGCTTTGGAAGATTATTACCGCTCACCGATAAATCGTATTTTTTTCTCAATTCGTACACCTACAATCAACTATATTTTTAATGTCTTTTAACAGATTATTCTTACCTGTTGTCTAGTTAAGGAAGAAATTTCAGGATGTTCGTTATAGAAATTACCCCGAAAAGGTTTGTATTCGATGGTGGCGTGATCAATGGGAGGTAATGGGTCAATTATTTTATTACGATCAGGTGCTATTGGATTTCCATCTTCATCATATTCTACTTCTGGATGCAATGGGTCAATCGGAGCCAAGCCAGCATTAGGATTCTCCTCCATATATCTAAATAAAACAACATTTACTAAATTAAAAATAAATTAACTAAAATTACCTGTAGTATGATTCCTCATTGTCTTCCTCCTCCAAATCATTCCTAACTGCTACTTTAGGCTCAGGTTTCTTTTGCTCCTGCTCTTTCTTTACCTATTATGTAAACAAAGAAATGACCTAATTAATATAACCAATTTAATTAAGTAAGAAACCACTTACTTGCTTTTCAATGCCTGCCATGAATGCATCCAAAGGATCATCTTCTTCAATATCATCCCTTTTTGAACTCTTCTCCAATTGAGTAGGACTACCTGGTGCAGGGATATATGCTAATGAAGGTGCATTTTCCTCTTCATCATCATCAAAGTACCTTAAATTATATGGAAAAGTTAATTATGTGGAATCAAGTTGTAATATTAATCTTACTCATCCTCTGTTACTGCTCTCTTCCGACTGCCACCCCAAGCTGCAGATAATGCATTTTGGCTGATGGCATTCATAGTTGAGTAACCCTGTTTGCTGACTCCCGTGGAAGGTGGAGGAGGCACTGCATTGTGACTCTGTCTGGGCTTGCTGCCCATTTTAAAACCAGAGTAATTGAAATTACTCATCTTGTCTTGGAAGAAATAAATCTTTTTAACCATGAAATAAATAAAATATTAAACAGCTGAACTCTTAAAACTTTTGAACTGATAATCTTACTTAATAGAATGGAAACATAATAACTGATATTAACTATTAAAATCGTAATAATAATATTTGTAAACCTCTTTATATAAAAATCAACAACACATTACTGACAACCAGGGCGGCATCCTAATAGGAATAAAAAATACCGCATTGTAGTCAATTTTATTGCTTGTTGATTTAGTGATCATTTGCGCCATCTGTTTGTGAAAAACTTAGATATTACTTAAGAATGCAACTTTAGTAGACTACGTTATTATCTAGTTTATAACTTTATATTAAATGCAATATAATTTGAATGAACATGTCCAGTATAATCGACTTGATAAAGAACAAGGTATTAATTTGTAAAAATATATTTGAACACCGTAGATCAGGAGTTCCCAATTCTTTTATTCGAAAATATATCAGATTTATTTCAGGGCGCCTCAAGACAAAACATTAGTTTATCTCAAGTCGAACTTTTTGTTAATAGTAGTTTTTCTTCAATTTTCGTGGCGCATTTCGAAGTTAGGGATCCCATTCCGTAGGTAATAAATAAAAATTAAATTTCATGTATAACATGCGTTTACTATAATTGAAATTATATACTAAACTTTTGTTAAATAAACTGTATAAACTAAATGCAAACACAATCATAAGTTATTCAAATATATGATTTTTAATTAATTAATTAATAATAAACATAATATATTGCACATACACTACATGCATAAATACAGAGGCGAATGTATTGTAGTCTTAGGAAATGGACCCCACTTATAGGTCAATAATTGTAGATTTAAAAACATGGAAAATTCATAAGCAAAAAATTCTTCAAAGTCAACAAAATTGATATTTTAGTTGCACGTATAAAAGTGTATTGAAAAAAAAATTAAAGTTAAATTCTTATATTAAGTTGTTTTTGGACCCTGACCTCATGTATTTCTATGTCAACGTTTCTAAATTTGTTAAAATTGGAATATGAAGGAATGATTCAAACAATTATGTTTCCGTTGGAACGAACAGGAAAAATAAAACATTTGATAAATAATATAAAAATTATATTTAAAGATATCTCATCTAGTCTATTAGATGTGCGTTAGGAGCGAGTATCCAATAAAAGTGCAATAAATGCGATTCATTTTTTCAATTGTTTTTCATCTGGGGATCTTCTGTTCTCTAATGGAATGGAGACCACTTGAGCAATAAATTAGGGTGTGTAAAAAATAATAGAGAATGTGGGAGGAAATTGTGTTTTGGTTTTGGCGTTCATGACCAGACGATGCCTTCGATCCAGTCTAGGTAGCTGTAGATGCGCGTGTACACGCCTGGGTATTTGCTTCCGCATCCTCGGCCATAGGATGTTACTCCTACGATGCTGTAAATAGAGCTCTGGTTCTTGTGAAGCACTTGCAGAGGACCGCCGCTATCACCCTGTAACATCAAAGAATTCGTACGCGGTTAACGAGGTCTAGAAAGAGGTGGAAAAGGCATCCTCAAATAGATCATTAAACTTGTCGAGGACTTAAACTCTCATATTTAAATGCTATTTCAGTTATATTATAAAGATGTGCTTAGTGACTATCGTGTACGTGGTTAAGTGTAAAAAATGCATTTATAGTTGCCAACGTGATATAAGAAATTTAATATTTTGTAGATTCTTTTTAATTCATTTTAGGAATATTCTTTATATAATACACATATTTTTTATTACTTTAAAAGTTTCAATTAGGCCAATTAATAAATAATAAAACATTCACCTAATTTAGCTGTAAGCTAGTATTATGAAATTGTATATTTTTCTACACATTTTATAATAAACTGTTTGAGTTAATTTATTTCATGACCAAATAAAATTTAGTTTCTTTTAAAATTTTCAGTAATTGGAGTTGGTAACACCAAATAACATTGTTATGTATATATATATAATTATGTATATATATAATTGTTACTTGTTGCTGTTTTTTGAAGAAGAGACAATCCCAAGTTGATTTACTGCTGTTAAAAAAAGCGTAAACTTACTTGGCATGCGTCTGTAGGAATCTGACGATCCACGGTGAAGGCACAGATGTGTGAGCGGAGGACGTTGGGTGCAAAAGCGACAGAGGTGTGCGTCTTGTTGCACTCGGTCACCGGTACTGTACTCAACGTCGCCTTCTGCAGAATCTGACTTCGGTTTCCAGCTGAAAATCATTATACATAATATTACTTAATATAATTATATAATATGATCAAGAAATACATCAGTTTCTTAAATAAATGCAAAAGTCAATTAATTTATAATTATTACGTCTATATATTAATATGTATTCTATATGTATTTTTTATTATTTAAATGTATAATTCGCAGAGAACTTTTGATGTACTTTTTTTCTCAATTAAAACCGTACAGATTTTGGATCAATATAAAAAAGAAACACAATGAAAATTGACATTGACTATGTTATTATTTTCCATTTCAATATAATTTGTATTTACAAGTAAGTGAGCATTTCATTTTTACGTATAGTATATGTGATTAATTTTGGAAAACATTTCAACGAATGCGATTAAGAAAAATAACGATAAATAATTAACGATTTCTGAAAATTGCTGAGATAAATGTACATACAATCGATTGCAATGTTTCGAATATTAAAGTATTGTATTTCGTGGAATTCAATAGAGGAAATCCACGAGAAATAGGAAAAAATCAATAAATACAATTTAATAGAGGAAGATCTTTGAGGAATTCCCTGGAGCCGTTCAATTTTTATACGTCTAGTTTGTAAAACTTGTTTATATATTTCACCGGATTTTCCCTGTTTCCTTTTTTGCGATGGTTGCTTTGATATAAAATCAATAAGTCTAGAGTGCAAGGTGTGAGCACAATTTGATTTACACTCGCATCCGCCACTCTCCAACAATCGTTGCTCCTTATTTTCTACTGCAGTTCAATTTCTCTATTTGTATCCACATAATTGAAATACAATCTTATTATCTTACCCGAAAATACAAAGTTGGATGAAAATATCAATTTTCCATCTAATCATTTTTTTTTGTTATTGTTTGTTGTTGTGAATAACATTTATGACTTATTGTATTTCAATCTATTTACATTTTTAGAACAATTACAAAATGTTCACATTGAAGAATAGTTGATTCAAACATTATTGTTTATACTTGTATCCAATAGTTTGAGAAACCCTGTTATATATTTGTGACAATAAAGTAAGTGGGGAAAAAGTGTTGGAAATAGATCTAAAAATATTAATTAAAAAAACATATTTTTTTCAATTACAATTATTTCTTCATTTATGCGAAGCAAATTTTTTCGAGTAATATTTGTAATTGCTAATATTTTAATTAAGAAAAATATTACCAACGATCGCTCTACCTGTGATTAGATTTAACGAAGAAGATTCTCAAACTGGGGTCGCAGAATTGATGACAAACGGAATCTTATGTTTGTCTACTTTTTCTATATACAGTGGAACCTCGCTTAACGAGTTTAATCCGTTTCAAAATTTCCAGATGAAATACTCGTATAGTATAGTGAAATATATTCAAAAATATACATAATATGTGTACACAAGTTTAGAACACTGTATAATCATTTTTCGGGTGTCCTTTAAAGGTTTTAAGTACAAAAAACATTTTAAGTACCAGAAACACTGGTCTAAAACATTAAATTATGGTCGTCCGTTTTGTAGATTTTCCCACTTTTGAAATTATTCTATGGAAATCCCAGAAAATAACATAATCCAAGATTTTTTTTAGGAAAATTATACTTCAAATAATGTAAAACAACAAATTTTGTCATCTGTTTTGTAGATTTTACCAGTTTTAACCTATTACTTGTGATTAATAGAAACAATCCTAGTAGGTTTTTACAAAAAATTATACTTCCGCTTATGATTTCATTGATCAAATTATTTAAAACTATAAATTATGGTTTTGCTGTGTACATTTTTCCAATTATAAAGTAGTCGATTGGAATTATTATATGGGTATACCAGAATATATTATGGTACTCGGAAAACGATTTTACTTTATAAAAATATGTACTTCTGCTTTAAATATGGATTTATAGATTTTCCTAGTTTTCAAGTAGTCGATTGGAATTAGCACGGTAATCCCAGAAAATATCATAATAGTTAATAGTGGATTAAGAATAATGAATATATGAGACTTTGATACCTCATGCAATTTAACAATTGATTAATAACCGATTAATTTCGATTATTTTTACGATTACTATGGATTTCTTAGTCTTAAAACTTAAATGCTTAAGTCGGAGGTGTGTATATTTTAACTACGGAAGACAAGGGACAAAACGTTAAAAATCATGACTGTCTCGCAAAAAAAAAACTATAACCAGCATTTGTGTAGTTAAGAGGAGTGGAATATAAACAAAATAACGAATATAAATAAAACTACGAAACGATATTATTCAAATAATAAGTCATTGAGTGATTTTTATCGTGGTTCATTTTTACTTAAAACGCACTCTATTTTTGTCAATATGACAGTCAATCCCCATGGACGTCATGCAAGAATATTTTATTTGCGCAAAATTAATAAATGTATGCGTTTAAATGGTGATTCACAGTTCAATTTACGTACATTCGCTTACCACTTTGCGTACGCATGATGTACGAAAATTGAGCGAGGACTGTACCTAACAAAAAATACATCGAAATAATAATCCTCAATTCATCACAAACTAAATGAAAAATAAATATATCCCTATAAATACATTTACACTTAATTTTAAAATGGTTCACGAGAATAACCAGTTTATTTTATTGATTAATTTATTGTTGGCCTCTCATTACAAAAAATTCGTAAGATTAGGACATTATTTGGTTGGAAAAAATTTGTAATGAAATCCATTTCAAATATTTTTATTTTTTGCGAGCCGCACTTCGACATGAAAAGAGCCGCATATTGTCGACCCTTGGTCTATCATATAGTGTGTTTTTATGAATAAGAGGTGAACATGTACCTGCTTCTGTAAGACCCCATCCTGTGATAATGACTGATTTAGGATCATCAGGTTCGAAGTAGAGACACGCCGGATGAACGTTCGCCGTATACTGGACCTTCCTGGAAAGCCGGATAAGCGCGATGTCGTTCACCTTATTCCTATTGCTGTATTCCGGATGAAAGATGATCTCTGCGACGTTGAAATCCTGCGGCATCACCGAATCCGAATTACCACTAATGTCGATCTTCCCGAGCCGTACTTTCTCGGGCATTTTCCTATCAAAAAAACAAACCATCAACTTAATTTAATTACGTAACCACGGAGGGCCCAATTCCAATTTCGAGTTCGCCGTTTTCCTTCCTTTTTCCGCGCATTAATTGCCTCTGTTCTCCTTTTTTTTTTCTAGTTGTTTTTTTTTCTGTTGTCGGTTCCCAAAATAATCCTGGAGAATCAAAAGGCCGTCAATTTAACAACGGCCTGATCATCAAAGCGGCCGAATTAAATTTCCCGCATTATCCACTCGGCAACTTCAATTGGCAAAATCGTTCCCTCCGAGCGAAAAAACACTTTTCCAATTTTGCTCGCATGCATACGCCGAATAATTGTTTATTCTACGCACACCTTTTAACCTATCAAAACCTTTGTGTCCGACGTTACAGGCGAATTTATTGAACGCTTTCCGAAATGCTCGTCAAAAATAAACTATAGTTTTTTTAAATAGATCTTTTTTTAAATTATCTAACTTTACGAGCAGGAAAAACAACTAATGTCAAAATGTTTATATTATTATGAAAAATCTATGATATAACTTACTCATCCCTTCGGACGACGCAGTGGGCTGCAGTCAGGATGTAACTGTTGCTAATTAAGGATCCTCCGCAATCCCAAGACCAGTCGGAGCCGACATCATCGCTCTCATACCCGAGTCCCGCCTTTAATCCAATTACCGAAACAATAAGACACAGACATAGATAAAGAGGTTACATTAGGTATACACATCACATACCAATATAAAGAAGCAATCAAATATGGGACAATAATAAATTGATGATTGTTACAGAAATTTATAATTAAATGTTAAATTTGATATACCAAACCACAATCAAAATAATGAAACTAATTATATACGTCAGTTCATATCTATTATAGATTTCTACTAAACTCGTGTGTTATTATTTTTAGATCAATCAATGTAACGATAAATTAATTTCTGCAAAAATAATGCTTCTCCATTCAAATCTGTTTGCAATTCCCAAAATTTAACACGATGGAGTCTGAGAGTCTTGAAACAAAGAATTAAAATATGCCGATAAATAGATTCTTTCCAGATATATTTGTGCTTATAAAAAATGTCAATATTCATTAATATTTATTTTAAATGCTAGAACAGTTTACTAATGAAATAATTCTATATTTATTTACATTAATTTTATATGATCAAAGTGTGTAATACAACAATTCAGGGCAACAACCGACATAATGAAATAAGTTTTTTTGTTTTTTTTTCAAGAAACTATGTTATAGTGTAATTTAATGAATCTTTGATTCAAATAGATTGATTTTTAGTTCTAGCGCTTTAGAACAATGACGTTTATAAAACACCATTTAATCAATAATAATAATGATAATTATTAAAACAGTGATATATGACAATTAATTTTATAATAATAAAACATAAAAGTTGTTTTTCAAAAGAAATAACTATAAATAGAATAATATAATTGAATAATGATGTATATACATACACACAAAAGAAATGATGAAATTAGATTTCAATAAAATATGATATTAAATTAAAAAAAAAATAGGACTGAAAAACTGCGGTCAATAACGCTTTGTATGTTATTATACAATACATTTAATTTTTGATTAAAAAGTCGCATAACATGACCAATATGTACGATGAAAACAGATGCTAACAGTGTTACTGTGTTGCCATCCATTTTATACTTTTTAACATTTTTCTTTATTTTATTTTACATTTTTTATTGGCAATATTTTGGACTTCAGGATTTCCTTTATACGATATTTTATTTTTTTGTTTTTAATAATTTAAAAAGTAATTTCACTGTTATGAAATGTCGTAAAATGAAGCATAACGACACCTACCTTACGCATACAGTTAAATCATACAGTGGAACCTCGCTTAACGAGCATTTTGTTAAACGAGCAAAATTATTTGTAAGAAAAATGACTCGCTTAACGAGCGACGTTTCGCATAACGAGTGACTGAGAAGAGAAGTCCTAAATTACGGGCCTGCCTATCATTTTTAAAAGTTGTGTACACAAATTATGTGTATTTTTTAATATGTTTCACTATACTCCGGATAATCCGGAAATTTTGGAACGGATTAAACTCGTTAAGCGAGGTTTCACTGTATATTGGAATTTATTGAAATAAAATTAACTATTAACTTATAAATTTCTGATCATAAATGTTGAATTAAGAATTAATTGTCTCCATTTATATGTTGTCAATTCTAATACATTAGTGGCTAGAGATTATATTAATAAAAATAATTTCAATGTTGCTTTTTCTAATTTTAGAAGAGAATAAGTATTGTATAGAAACTATGACAATTTTCCTTGAGCGTCTATTATTTGTATTGTTTTTATTTAATTATCATATAAATTTATTAAAGTTTAGTACTAGAGCATAAAGATATGCTAATGTCCATAGCGTCCTTACAGCAGTTGACTTTTTGTTTCATTATTATTGTATGGAAATGTTAAATTATGATTTTTTGTATTGTTGCAATTAATATTGATAATTATTAAATATAAACCTTAGGTCAACATGAACTAAAATAGATTCGTAAATAACATTGAACAAATAATTATGGTTGTATTTATGTATGAAATGTGGTTACTTAACAATTCAGTATTATTTTGCTGAATTTATTTTAAATACCGTTGGATTACACTGGGTTATGAAAATACGGCAAATCCGTAAAAATACGCGGGATGTGGAAACCTCAAATATAGTAGTATTCAACCATTCCCATATATAAAAGCAATAAAACGTTTTTTTCAGTTATGAAATTTACCATGTGCGGGAATTCGCCGAGCTTGGCATCTGTTCCGCCCAAAATTTGGAATTCCACATCCGGCGTCAACTCGTTCGAGTACTCTTCGCAAGCTACCGAAAAACAAAATAATTATTAGTACAATACTATAAACGTCTTGAGAAATTCTTGCCTTGGACGCTCTTCCTTAGCGTGGGAGATCTCGAGTCCGTCTTGGACGTGGTTGTTTCTGATTCTTTCGACTTTTCATCCTCCGGACAGCAGACCACCTCATCGAGATCCTGGAAGCCGCAGCGTTCCAGCTTATGTTGCCTGGTTCTCCTGATCTGTTCCAAGGCCAGAGGGCAGTCATGGATGAGACGACACACTCCCGAAGAACTTCTCGGACAGGCCGAACCCACTGCAACAGGATTAACAGCTTTACAAGATTGGATGGACTTTGTATTCACCAGTCAATTAATTAACATTCGGCGGAGTCTTGTTGACTGACACCAATACCAAGTTATCAAATACGAGAGATAATGGCTAACCGCTCCAGTCCATTAAGCGAGACTCGCGATAGCTTACATCGGAACTGTCAATAAAAAAAATGTATATAGAGAAAAACAAATAAACTGCATTCCACAGTAGTATTTGATTCGGATTTTTTCTATTTTGCCTTCGTGAACCGTTTTTAGTCCTCGTTAATTCATGCACGTGACTGTCTTAAACGTCACGTTCCAAACTGCGCTCCAGAGAGGAGGACAAATTTTCATCTACCTCGTACATCCTTAATCACCCGATCTTCCCGGTTGCGCAAAGAAATGCAAAATAAGAGAGGCGTTGCATACAAAAAACAAAAAAAAGACACATTAATTTGTTGCGCTCGTTAATACCTATTCGTCATTCGATACACCATTGTTTATGGATTCACAAACCTTAACTGGATGAGAATTTCGTAATGACATTTAAACACAATAAGATTATATATCAAATATTTACTCTTTGAACAGTGAAATCATTTGCTTAATCAATAAAAAGAAACAACAACATTTGTTGATCTCATCGCCAAGAACAAGAAAAACATGTTTGAACAATTACTGATTTATGCGCATCAATGACGATTTATTTATTTTGCACAAATTTTCGATGCAATTTATCTCCACTTATTTGGATTTGCAAATATTTTGTAGTGTATCATAGAATAGAATCTCTAACCGTTTTTTATATGCTAGATATGAGTCATTTCATGGTCACGGGCGACTATACAACAACATTTGAAATCTTATGGTACGGGGATTTTTTTCAATAATGAGCATAATGAAAAACAAATAGATGTTAATGTTATACAGTAAATGACGATAATTCAGTGAATATGTAATTCTATTCGGAAGGTAATTTGCAACATGAATAATAAACAAAATTTGATAGAAATTGATAGTAAAGCCGTTTTTCTTTAATTTGATGATAAAAATTATTTTTTAATTATTTATTATTTGACTATTAGAATAAATATTATTTATATTTTAAGTTTTATATGCATACACTCAATAGATATATACTATATATATATATATCTACATGTTAAATTTCACAACCTAATTAAAAAAATGAGCAGTTAAGCAAATCTGTTCAATAAAAATAATAATTTATTGCATATATGCAAACACATGTAGAACACACTTGAACTAATTCAGTCATTTTCAAAACTTTTGAAATAAATCGAGTAGAACGAAGATCAATCAGAAACTGTAAGATAAAGTAAAGGGGTCGTCTATTATTAAGCACTTTAAGTAATAAAAAGATCTCACCAGTTCATATCTCCATAGTCTTTAACATTATAAGAACCGAGTGATTATTTTCAAATATTTGGTTTACAGCAATACCTCGTGTATGTAAATCCAACTATTGTCCGGTTTAAAAATTTCAAAACAAACTAAATTTTGTATGAGTAAAATAATTTTAAAGAATGTGTTTTTTTAATCGGTTTCGTAAATTTGACTGAAACCGGTTGTCATTAGTCCATGAAAAATTTGCGTTCTAATTATATGAAATTTATTTTTAATTTTGCTTATTTCAAATTGAGTTCGTTTTGAAATTTTCAAACCAGACTATAGTGAATCTGGACTGATGGAAGTCTCGAGGTATACCAAATATATTCTTCATAATAAATTTTCTGTTTGATTTATTATCAGTAATTACATTTTTAAACATTTATATTCCCACAGTAACATAACTGCAGCATTGAGATCTATTTTATTGGTTTTTACTAACTGGGCACAAGTGAGTTAACTAATTATGTGAAGACCTTTGTGATTAAGAACAAATATTAATCAATAATTTATTTTTGTTAGCCACAAACAGTCTACATAGTTGTTTACAAGATTCAATATCTCACTCGTATAATTAACTATACTTACTGAGATGTTTTTTTTTTATTTAATGCCTGGATTTAAATTTAAACACATGATTTGAATGGTTCAATGTAGGCAATGAATACAACAAATTTGTCTCGTCCATAAACACGTGTTGCGATAAGGAATTGAATTGCAATCAATTAGCAATGGTCCATTGAGATGAGTTTCGCTATTAACCTGGATTCGATCAACTAGTAGATACGTAATCTGTCCTAGAGGCAAATGACAGGTGTCCCGGAAAACAAAGGGAAACGCACCGATTGACCTGTTATCGCCGAGCAATTGTGATGGAGGATCCGAAGTAGCAACACACGATTACCGAACGGAATGCATGCATTTCAAAAGGTAAGCATAATTGAGGAGATTAATGGGACCGTCGGCCTTGGTATCAGCGCGCAGCTACGATTTTTTATTGTTTTCTTTTTGGTTTCAGTACTGTGTTAACGAAAAAGAGCACCTTTGATTGCATTGCGAAGACACGATTTGGAGAATAACAGAAAGATTTTGAATCGAAATCACATGGGTTTCCCGGCACTTAGTGACGTTGGCTTGATAAAGAACTTATCGCAGACCAAGGCGATCCATCTCCAATACAAGATGTACCTAAACATATTGCGACATGCTAATTGATTAAAATATTTAAGCCATATCTGCGATTTTACCTTGTTATGTGCCACTTCTTGCAAATATTTTCAAGTGATTAAAGAACATAGATGAAGATGTTATCCAAATAAAATAAATGATTAATTTATTAATTTAATGCAAACTGTTTGTAATAGAATACGCATTTTCAAATGAATGGTATCATATTTAAATTATGTTTGGTGCACCAAGAAATCTTTACGGTATTAAATGAAATGCATTTGGGATTTTTTTTCTTTGTGTATATTTTGGTTCCGTTTTTCTCCTCGTGATCTTGAGCGGTTCGGCCGTGAACTTAGCACATAGTCGTCGCACAAAGAAAGTTGCTTATTATTGTGACTTACCGTCCATGGTGTAAGTTCCGGTCACAAGAAGTAAAAAGCCTACGACGAGGAGTGAGCTGCGGCCCGAGCACTGCATGGTGATGCTTGTTGTTGTTTCTAACGTTCGTTGTTAACTAAATGCACCTAGAGTTCATCACCTTTGCGAGAGATGATGATCGTATGAACAAACAGAAACCGTTGATGGATATAATACGAATTCGCATTCACGGTCACTCGGCGACTGAACCAAAGTCGAGTCTCGACCTGGCCGCCTGCCTTCGGTCCGGCCGGTTTTTCGAATAATCTCCTTCCTTCTTCCATTCGATGTATCCTTCTTCCACCAGCGCGACTGATTCCCACTAAATCACTATCACTGTTTCTTCAACATTTCGACATGACGACCAATCCATTAGAGATAAGCTTCTACACATTTTCATTTCAACTGTAAAACAATGCTTATCTATGAAGTCATCATAAGCATTCAAACATAAATGTGTTCTTTGTACATTTTTTTTAAATTAATTTTACAACAATAATATTTTTCAGTGTTTATTTGATATTCTCGATATAATTAAAACTAAAGAAAATTATTAATTATCATCTATTTCCACTTACATTTACATAAATATATATCACTTAATTAAAACCACTAATACATTTTCAATGTATCTTCGAATATTTATTTTACAGTCAATAAATATTTTTAATATGTTCAGTACTTGATTTACAAATTTTAAAAATGATTTTAGTAATTTATCACTGTTTATTGAACCAATCGATCCGAAGACTCAAAATGTTTTAATTTCGCATGTAAAAATACATTAAAACGAAATAAGCCCTTTATTTATGTATAGAATGTACTTTTTTTTCTTATGTATTTATGTTTGGACAATAAATTATTATTATTACATTAAAAATTTGAATTTGATTTAAACAATTTATAACAATGATTTACTTTTAATATTTTATGAGTCCTGTTTACATTTCCACATAATATCAAAAAATTAAAACTATTTGAAGACTATACGCGATGGCAGCTTATCAAATTTTCAATTCAACTGTAAAACAATGCTTATCTTTCTGTCGTCAAATTTTCTCAAAATTAGAAGTATTTTTATTTGAAAATATTAATTTTCAATTATTTATTAATATATGTTTATTGGTCCTAATATAGGTCAGATCGACCGAACTTTCTGTCAATCAAATGCTATGTAAGAACAAATTTTCAAATTTGTTTCTTCTATAACTGGAACCGATGACGAGGAAGAACACCTCACTCATTAAGTTCGTAGGATGACATATAGATAGCGCCTTTACGATTTTTAGGAAATATGAACTTTCAGGCGTCTGTTAAATTTTTATGGCAATCTGATGTTTAGTTCACAAGTTACAGTGATTTTAGTGACGCTACTTTTGTAATTATCAAAATAATGGAAAAATCTGAATTTGGTGTGTTCATAAAACGTTGATTTTTGATGGGTAAAAATACAGTTCAAGCTAAGCAATGGCTTGATAAGTCTTATCTTCTCAGTCGAGACAAATGGCAGAGAAGTGGTTTGCGAACTTATTGAGTGAGGTGTTACATCAGATACAAAGTTCATAAGATTTTCATTTGAGCACGAATAATTTTATTTGATCATTTTATGTGAGTATTTGGGTATAAACCAAAAAAGTTATCTAAACTTTAGTGATACGTATATATATACTCTTTAATATCAAATCTCTATATAATTAATAATTTTACATGATTTATATAGTATTTCACTTTTGTGATCATAATTCATAAATGTAAGACGCTAATTGTTTTTTTTGTAACGTCTAGACGTATAATTAGAGACATCTGTTTATTATATCTTACATTCTTGTAAGAACCTTTTGAATGTATTTGGAAATTGAGTAACAAATTATTCGTGGAGCTACATTGCAATAAATTCATCAAGTTGAGTTTCAACTTCAAAGTGTATTTCAAATATAATAAATTAAAGTTTTATAAGATTTGTAAGTTTACCAATTATCAACAATAATATAAGTTTATAAGGTAATTTAAAATTATTAAATTAATATAAAATATTTTTTACAGCAATCATAAGTTTGCATTGGAAAAATCATTTGATAAAATAATAACAATTGTACTCGTTGTGAATTACTTGAAGATATAAATATGTTTTAAGTTTTTGTTTGTAATCGGTTCCGCCAATATCCCATACTGTTTAAAACTGCATAAACAGCAAAAAAAAGTGACCTGACATGTATATAGGAAAAATGATTATTTATGTGTGTCATAGCCATTGAAGATTACAATGCGAAACATATGCACTGGGGCTCCAGATTTATTACCACAAAGGGTTGAGAGTTTTGGAAGGCTATGCAGTCATTAGGTCTTTCTTACCTCTCCTCTAGTGAATGCACATATTGGACTTGAAACAGACTTGAATAAGCTTCCGGATTTATTAGATATTGGTGTTGTGAAGGGAATATCGCATATTTATTTGACAATTGAATATTCTCTTGATATTTATTCGGATCACTTCCCAATTATACGTTCGTCCAGCAGGCGAACAAACTGGGAATAATTTAGAAGATGCACAGATAAAAAATTAGAGATGAACATTAGACTAAAATTGGAGGATGATCTGGAAGTTGCAGTGGAGAACTTGGTTTGCAGAAACGACTTACAGATGTCCAGCTATTATTAAAAAGGCCATAATAGACAAACGAAAGCCGAGAAAAATCTGGCAACTTACCCGTGATCCTTCTCATAAAACATTACTAAACAGATCAACGAGACGACTAAAGGCATTACTAGAAAACCAGAAAAATTTAGCTCTTAATGACTACCTCAGTAACTTGACTCCAACGGAAGCTACCACTAAATAAATGAAATAACCAGTACAAAGTGTGTCGCCGATTGGTAAACTTTATGGTAGTTTGGCGAGAAGCGACACGGAGAAAGCTAAATTGTATTCTGAACATCTTGAGAGCGTATTCCAATAATTTCCTTCAGTACTTGTCGACGAGGAAAAAAGTGAAATCGAACAATTTTTGCAATTCTTATACCAAATGTCGCTTCCTATAAAACCCTTCAAAGTTTTCAATTTTTTTGTCGTCAAAATTAATGGCCAACTTAGATTTTTTATCATTTAGAAATATTTCATATCAATGTGTCGTACAGATGTGAAATGTAATGAACAAAAAATGTTTTATTGAAATGTCAATAATTAAAATATTTCTTGAAAAATAAGCAACTGAATGTATATTTGCTATAGTAAGGTGACTCCGGTTCGAATCCTGATCAAGCCAGCCCCTTTGTGAGCCCTCTCGGTGCTTGCAGTAATAGGGCCATCGTTCATCATGAATGTATAATTTCGGTTACGTTCCGGTCCATGGTTATCGTGTTTTGTCCAACCACTTTATTACTAATTATTGTTAAATATCTTACTAACTACTATGCTTAATATGTATTAAACATTGTATTATTGTGGAAAGTTTCCAAGGGTGGTAACCATTAAACAGTAAATTTCACATTCTTTTCATCGACATTTTCATTATCTTCTAATTTCTTAGATGTTATTTTCTTCTTCTAAATTAAATTTTGGTAACATTTTGCACCAAACTTTATTTCAGATTTTCTGGTAACTTCTTTCTAAGAATCATCAATGTTTTCGTCAAATTATGTGACTAAAAAAATTGTTCATTATCTGATATCCTTATGTACAATTCTCATTTTTTAATGATTCAAAATTATAAACTCAAGGTTTCACATATTTCCAAAATCAACGATTTTTTTGAGAATTGTCATTTCTCCTAGTATTGGCTAGGAAAAAAATTAAATAATGAATAACCCAATGATTCATGTTTTTTTTCTTTCGTACTTTGTGTGTAATTTTGCGGTTATTGAAATAAATGTTGTTATCATTAATAACGAGCATTGATAAATTCATCAAATTACCACATTTAGGTCGTAATAATTTATTGAAGGTCAAAGTTAACAATAATTTATCGAACAAGAAATACAATTTATTTTCTTTGTTACTTAATCTTATCACAATCAAATTAGTTGTAAAAGTATGAATGTCAGTCAATGTCAGTAATATTATTAAAAAGAAATGATAATAACACAATTTTATAAAGAAGAAAGCACAAATTACGTTCTATGAAATTGCGGATTTATCCGAATTCTATAGCTATTTATCAATATAAGAAGATATGTTGATTTCGATGAGTAAGTACAATCTATTGTAAAGTAATATATTTTAATATAAAGAATGTAGAATGCGAATTCCATATAACGCGGAATAAAAATTGCGACACAACGCAAAAACCGCTATTGAAACGCTATTTCTATATAATATAAAACTATTTCAAATGAGATTTTAGAATCTAAAGTACATACATAATACAGAAAGTCATATTTCTACCTCAAATTCATTGGTAGACGAAAATATGGATAAATAGAAGAATTCACACGACTATAGGCTAGTGCTCCAAGGTATTCAATAAACGATGAAATCCATATATTTGTCAAAATTTACCTGGTTAAGGAATAACTAAGCAAAGTGTGCACAAATTACCAACACTGGTTGGAAAAAAAAACTTTGCTGCAGAGTTAACCTTTGTGTTCTTTAGAGATTTAAACGTTTGAAACCGCAGGATTTGGTAACCGTTTTACTGATAATAAAAATAACAGACTTTTATCTGAGTTCAGTTAAGTAATTCTATTTGAAATTTGGTTATTGAAGTATTTTTTCAACAAAACGCCCAGTTCATCAATTAAGCTTATTATAGATATATTGCTTTAAATAAAACAGTTCTATCCGATAATTTTGATATTTGAAGTTCTTTTTTTTTGTAGAAAGATGACAAGAATTGATTCATTGTATTTAATAAAATATTTTATGAAATAATAATAAGTTCAAATGGAAGTGATATTAGTTCTAACTAATGTGTAGGAAAATGGTTTTCCAATTTTGTTAAAATCGTTATGATTTTCTTCTAGTAGATCAGAATGGGCATAGACAACCACTATTATCTCATCATCCTCAAGAGGTTTGTTAACTAGTTATTCCTCTGATATAGTTGTGACGATATATTTTTAGATACAGGTTAAACCGTTGATCCTTTTCACGCTTTGGTAGATTTTCTCAGTTTAATCCAATTATTTGCCCCTTAATTTTATTTTCTTTAAATCAGCAGTTTCCTACCCTTTTCTTACTATGCCTCACATGAAAATAATATAACGTTGGCTACTCTTGCCGCCCGACGCGGCCTCTTTGTATAATAGCAACACGCAGGGCCCTGTGAAA